AAACAACATACATATGATTGTGTATTTGATGGCAGTGCCACACAACAAGATGTGTTTGAAGATACAAGGGCAAGTTTTCTTGTATTCAATTGTTAAGGAAATCTGTTGTTCTTAATTGCTATGAAATATGCATGTGTAAATAATCTGTAATATGCTAACTATTTTTTGTCCATTTAATGCAGTATTTGGTACAATCAGCTGTAGATGGGTACAATGTGTGCATATTTGCATACGGGCAAACGGGTTCCGGAAAAACATATACGATTTATGGTTCAGATGCTAATCCTGGACTCACTCCACGGGCAACTGCAGAACTTTTTAAAATAATGAAGCGAGACAGCAACAAATTCTCATTTTCATTGAAGGTATGTGTTGTTGGTTCTATATAATGATCATTTGTTGCCACTCAATTTTCTGTTTTTTAAATATGTTAAATCAATGCATATTTGGTTTTTGTTTTTGTATGGGCGTTTGGTTACATGTTAGCCGTTGCCATTTGCAGCCCTCACAAAAGAGATATATGATTATTGTGATGTTTGCCTTTTTCTATCCAAATTTAAGACTTTTGTTCATATATTAAGCACAATAAAAACATCTGTTCAAATGTAAGACAATGCGAGTAAGATGACAAGAAGTCCATCATGTCTAGTTTAACACCATTAAACAAATATACAAGTTACTTTCATTATTGTTGTTTAGACTTGATAATGGTATTCATCTATATATTTTTGCGCAGGCATACATGGTGGAGGTGTATCAGGATACACTTGTGGACCTTCTCTTACCAAAAAATTCTAAGCGTTTGAAATTGGATATCAAGAAAGATTCGAAGGTAATCTGTTTATTGAGGTCTATAATGTTTTGTAATTCTACAAGTCATGTTGTTTTTATAAGACTATGACGAATGTTTTGAGATGTTATGCATATGCGGTCCTTAATTTCTATGTTATCAAAATATTTTGTTTTGGAATTTGGCCTCATTTTTTTTAATTAGTAACACTATCTTTGAGTTCGCTCTCAATGTTTCATTTGTGATGTTAGGGTATGGTTTCTGTTGAAAACATAACGGTTCTATCAATTTCAACATATGATGAACTGAAAAACATCATTCAAAGAGGGTCAGAACGAAGACATGTAGCTGGAACTCAAATGAATGAAGAAAGTTCAAGATCTCATCTCATCGTTTCAATTGTCATTGAAAGTACCAACCTTCAAAGTCAATCAGTCGCAAGAGGAAAGGTATATCAATATTTTCCAAAATAAATGAATAAATATTTGTTCATGCACCTTGGGCAAATGTGATACACATTAGTTGCATTCACTCATGTATGGTTTAGTGTTTCATTTGAAGTTATACTCATAATGTCTTTCCTTTATATACTCATCTGTAGCTAAGTTTTGTGGATCTTGCTGGTTCGGAAAGAATAAAGAAGTCAGGCTCTTCAGGCAGTCAACTTAAAGAAGCTCAAAGTATTAATAAATCACTTTCAGCACTTGGAGATGTTATCAATTCTTTGTCTTCTGGTGGTCAACACATACCCTACAGGAACCATAAATTGACTATGTTGATGAGTGATTCACTTGGTGGTAATGCTAAGACGCTAATGTTCGTTAACGTTTCTCCTGCTGAATCAAATGTGGATGAGACACACAATTCTCTAATGTAAGTTCTATTGTTCTTAGTTGCATGTTGATATTGTGCAACTATTTTTATTTATTAAATTAGTTTGTAGTTGATGTGGCTTTGACTGAAATCTTGGTTAAGTGTGATATTCTATTCGAAATTTTTTTCACACCTTTTTGCTGATTCAGGTACGCATCAAGAGTTCGGTCGATTGTGAATGATCCAAGCAAAAATGTTTCTTCAAAAGAGATCATGCGACTGAAAAAGTTGGTTGCATATTGGAAAGAGCAAGCAGGCAAGAGAGGGGACGAAGAGGATTTGGAAGAAATTCAAGAAGAGCGACCAGTGAAAGATAGAGCAGATGGCCGCCATTCCATGTAACTTTTCTCCTACACTAATGTGGTGCAACTTCTAATTGGCAATACTGGTAGTACTACAAGTTCCTTAGGAAGAATTTTGGAATGGAATCTAGGGCTTCGGAAAGGTGGACCGCATTGATCGAGCAAACTAGATTGGTTCTAATCTAGTTGCTATTGTGTTTTGGGGTCCCGATGATCTCTCTGTGATTGTACTCTGGATAAAAAAAAGGTTGTAATCGGCTTAGGAGGATGTTAGTTGTCTTGTACAGTCTGGATGGTGTGTATATATACGGCAAATTCTTAATTTGACATGTATATGGAGTTCAAAATTTCGTCTTCTTCTTTCATATTGTCTTCTGATTTTTTTTTTCCATTCACATTTTTGTTTCAGATACAATAATGTCAATCATAATTTTACATATTGCCAAATGATAAATAATAAATAAATAAATAGAACAAAAAGGGAAAATCTTACATATACCGTGACTTAATCACACTTATCTTTTTCTCCTATTTTCACGTTGTACATTGTATTTGGCTTAATAGTGATATTTCCATTTGAATTTTCTGTCAACATCAATGTGTTCCCAAAGTACAAGATGATTGATGACGATATAATTGATAGCCATTAAGCTTCTTTTCTTTTCCCTCATTTTCTTGGCAAAAAGTGCACCTCCGCATGGATTGCGTGCAATTTTTTTTCCTTCTTTGCCGGTCCATTATAATAATCTTTCCTTAATTAGTACATAAGAAATGCTTATGCACAACCATTCAATTCCAAATGTCTAAAACTCAATCCCAATGAACAACTGCATTTTCAGAATTTAAGGTCTGACTGTCGACACTTCACAGACTACAGTCATAGCCAGATAGGAAAAGGGTAGAGAGCAGGAAAAAAAAAACAACAACAACAACAACAACAATTCGGAACAAATGGGTGAGGGTGCAGATTGCATGACCATCCCAGTGATTGATATGCAAAAGTTTCCAGATGCAGAAGAGTACAAGAAACTGAGGGAAGCATCTGAGATATGGGGCTGCTTCAGGCTTATCAATCACAAGATCCCATTGTCTCTGATGAAGGAGATGAAGGCTGTGGTCAGATCCCTGCTTGACCTGCCCATGGAGATCAAGCAGCAGAACAAGGATGTCATAGCTGGTAGTGGCTACATGGCACCCAGCAAAGTCAACCCTCTTTATGAGGCTCTGGGTCTTTATGACTTGGGCTCACCTGAGGCTGTGCATACTTTTTGCTCTAAGTTGGATGCCTCTTCCCAACAGGGGTTAGCTCTGCAACTCATAACACTCCATTATTTCTAATTATTGTTAAATAGTTTGTGTTGTTTTAGCTTGATGGGTTTATAGCACACATCAAAAACTAGCTGCCCAGATCAAGTTTCAACCTTGAAAATCTAACTAGGTTGATAGTTATGTGTGTTATTTACCAGAGTCTTGAAGTTGTTTTTTGCTGTTGAGTGTGCAGAGAGATAATAACGAAGTATGCTCAAGCAGTGTATGATCAGATTGTGGAAATAGGGCACAAGTTGGCAGAGAGTCTTGGGTTGGTGAATGTTGATTTTCTCAAGGGCTGGCCTTGCCAGTTTAGGATAAACAAGTACAACTTCAAACCTGAATCAGTGGGCTCTTCTGGTGTACAAATCCACACAGATTCAGGATTTCTAACCATTCTTCAAGATGATGAAAATGTTGGTGGTCTAGAAGTGATGGACAAAGCTGGTGCCTTTGTCCCGGTTGATCCTTGCCCAGGCACTCTCCTAGTCAATCTTGGGGATGTTGCTCAGGTATGAGAGAAATAGGTCCATGTTTTTTTCTTCTTTTTTGCTGATTTGCCTTTTTATTAAGGTAAGGTAATTCTTGTTCTTGGTTATGTTTTGACATCAAGGCATGGAGCAATGGGAGGTTGTGCAATGTGAAGCATAGAGTGCAATGCAGGGAGGCAACGATTCGAGTTTCGATTGCTACATTTCTCTTGGGACCAAAGGATAAGGAAGCCGTGGAGGCTCCTCCGGAATTCGTGGATTCGGAGCATCCACGGCTCTATGTTCCTTTTACTTATGAAGACTATAGAAAGCTCAGGCTCTCCTCAAAATTGCAGGCTGGTGAAGCCCTTTCTCTCCTACGTACCACCCCCTCCTGATTGCTGATATGAACCAAAGCTTAGCTATAGCATATATCAGCTTTCCCTTTTAACCTATCTCAAATGCATAAGATAGAAGATAACCTAATCTCACTGTAGACACAGTTATATTTGCAGATCATATATATCTCCAAATAAGTGACGTTTGCCCAATTGAACTGGTTAAACCAGATTTGTTCAGTTAATGATCTCTCTGTTCTTGACTTGTTTCTGTTTTCCATTTGCTGGTAGAGATACTCTTTACCATTTCTAAAGGAAGTTTGATTTTTCCTTATTGAAAAATACCAAACAATTTGGTTTTCAAGACAAGGCATGTAGAATCAGTCACATCTTGTCTCAACTACTCTGAAATCTTCAAAGTCATGACTTTGCAGTTAATTTATCACCCATAAAATGAAGATTAAGGTGAAAAGCCCATCTGAGAAATTTATAATAAAACCAAAATTTTGCATTGATTTTATATAGAAACACTAAAACAAGCTGATGTGTGAAACATGATTATTATCCTTGCATTATGATCTTTAGAAAAAGAAAGAAAAAAAAAACTTTGATGGTGGTGTTGTAATTTTTAGGTTTTTCAAGGCTTGTATTGTATATTTGGTCTCTTGAAAAAGTGAAAATGAATTTTTTCCTAAAGTTCGAGTATTGTAGGGTTTTCCTATATTTTGAGCCGTGCTTATGGCCGTACATGTGAAAAGCCCTAATCTTTAATTCACACAAGAAATAGAAAATGACATTTTACAAAAATCAACTTCTTTCTACCCAAGTTTTGAAAACTCAACCGTTCTAATCATTTTGGCGTGAGAAAAAGACCCATTGAGTTGAATACAGAATCGAACATGCATTTATACAGAAACGGTCAGATAAAGAGTCAAGTTTATAAAGGGAAGAACATGGGTGACGAAATAAGATGTACATATATATATATATAAATATCAACAAAATGTACAAACTTACACGTGGAAAAGCACCTTCGGTGATAAACAAAACACGTTAGAAAAAAGAAACAATATTTAAACTAGGAAATATCTTTATATTTTTTATTTTTTATTTTTTAAAAAGAAAAGTGGAAAAATAAATAAATTGAAACATGAGGCTCGCTGGTTCTAATGATAGGATGACAAAATTAAGCATCTTAAATTTAAACCAGAGAGGAGCTCTCACTATATCCTCCTGCTCCTCCATAGCTGTCCTGGCTGTCGTAGCGTGGGGTCCATTCAGATCTATCCGAAACTGATATCCCAAGAGGCCATGACGACGTCGACGTCGTATTCAGAGTGTTGGCTACGCTGCTTACTCCTTCAGGCATAGAGGAGGAGGGCCACACAAAAGCGGGTTTAAAAGGTGGGACTCGGGGCACCGGAACCGACCCGGAAATGATTTGGATAATGGCCTGGGTCTTGGGCCTCTCGTTGGCAATAGGGTGAGAGCAGGCTAGCCCAAGAAGCAAAAGCCTCTCAGCTTCCTCTGCCACGTAATCACTCCCCAGCCTCTCGTCCACGGCCTCCAAGACACGCCCTTCTCTATGCAAGGACCAAACCCAATCCACCACAAACTGAAACCCGCCCATTTTGGTCCATGGTCGTTGACCGCAGGCAACTTCTAGAAGCACAGCCCCGAACCCATAGACATCAGACTCGCACGTGGCCTTGCCCGTGTGGAAGCACTCGGGTGCGATGTACCCCATTGTGCCCGGTACACCCTCGAGCTCCGCATACGAGGTTTTCTCGTTTTCCAAGGCACGTGCGAGGCCAAAGTCGCCGAGGCGGGAGTTGAAGTGGGAGTCTAGCATTATGTTGCTGGCCTTGAGGTCTCTATGGATCACTCTTTGGTCGTAGTCGTTGTGGAGGTAATGCAAGGCAGACGCCACTCCGGATACAATTTTGAACCTCTGGCTCCAGCCTAGTGTTGCATTCTCAGGACCCCCGAAAAGGTGGTTGTCCAAGCTTCCGTTCGGCATGTACTCGTATACTATGAGTAGCATCCCAGTTTTGTGGCACCATCCTGCATGTTTGTTTTTGAATGGGATTGTTAAAATGTGTGTGAAAGCATAAAAAGTCAAGGCTTATTATCACAAAAGGTCCCTAAGTTTTACGAAACTATCATGCATCCCAGTTTTGTGGCACCATCCTGCATGTTTGTTTTTGAATGGGATTGTTAAAATGTGTGTGAAAGCATAAAAAGTCAAACGTGTATTTGGATGGGTAACTTATAATATGACGAGAGGATTGCTATTCATTCTAATTAGTTTAAATATAACCCAATTTTGAGCTATTATTAATTTCCAATTGTGACATCTAAGACACCTCATCAATAGATGGATTTGTACAGCATATAGTGTCATGTGTATTTAAAATACAATATATATTTTAAAATAATTTAAAATTCATAAAATTTAAAAATGAAAAAATCATTTATATAAGGATTTTAACCTTAAGGACCATTTATAATCCCTAAACCCTTGGTTTTTTTCATTTTTAAATTTTATGAATTTTAAATTATTTTTTAAAAACTCCATTAGTTTGTTGATGTGGCATCTATGTGGAGCCCACATCTAAAATAATATAGTGTCATGTGTATTTAAAATACAATATATATTTTAAAATAATTTAAAATTCATAAAATTTAAAAATGAAAAAATCATTTATATAAGGATTTTAACCTTAAGGACCATTTATAATCCCTAAACCCTTGGTTTTTTTCATTTTTAAATTTTATGAATTTTAAATTATTTTTTAAAAACTCCATTAGTTTGTTGATGTGGCATCTATGTGGAGCCCACATCTAAAATAATATAGTGTCATGTGTATTTAAAATACAATATATATTTTAAAATAATTTAAAATTCATAAAATTTAAAAATGAAAAAATCATTTATATAAGGATTTTAACCTTAAGGACCATTTATAATCCCTAAACCCTTGGTTTTTTTCATTTTTAAATTTTATGAATTTTAAATTATTTTTTAAAAACTCCATTAGTTTGTTGATGTGGCATCTATGTGGAGCCCACATCTAAAATAATATAGTGTCATGTGTATTTAAAATACAATATGTATTTTAAAATAATTTAAAATTCATAAGATTTAAAAAAGAAAACCAAAATTTTATGAATTTTAAATTAAAAAATTAAAAAATTTCGCAAGGACCATTTGTGATAGATGTGTAAACCTTAGGGATGTTTTGTGATATGTATATATGCCACGTCAGCAAACTAACGGAGTTTTTGACGGAACCTAACGGCAAGGACCATTTGTGATTATACATACTAACCTTGAGGACCACGAGTGACAAAAAAAAACATTAAGGATGCAATCTGATAGTTTCGTAAACCTTAGAGACCTTTTGTGATAATAAGCCAAAAGTCAAACGTGTATTTGGATGGGTAACTTATAATATGACGAGAGGATTGCTATTCGGACTCGCTCGAAAATGACATAATACAAATATGGATAAGTTTCACTTGAATTCATTCTAACGAGTTTAAATATAACCCAATTTTGAGCTATTATTAATTTCCAATTGTGACATCTAAGACACCTCATCAATAGATGGATTTATACAGCTTGACCCCTACCTAACTTCTCCTAGGGGCATTGGTCTAGTTGTCTTTCAGTTGCTAGCTGAATCACAATGGACCAGTTGACCAATAACATCTACAGAATGACAGTGGACTTTGGGGATTGGCAATTTGGCATGCTTGTGCTTAAATAATTTAGTCCTAATTGGTGCATTTGCAGCCGGCGGCTATTGTTGTACCTTCCCGGTGAGAGCCTGAAAACGACATGGCGTGCCATCATGGGCCCATGAGGCCATGTCGTATTAATTAATATATTCCATGCTAACTTCATAACGAACGTGACATATTATCCTATTGAGAATCGTTCTTAGCCCAAAAAGAAAAATATGATGTTATGCGCAGACAAAAATTAAGTCAATTTATTTTAAAAAAAATGAATTACCAAGTAGCCGGACGAGATGCTTGTGGCGGAGGCGGTTGATAATGGTGAGCTCAGCCAAAAAGTCGTCTTTACCCTTGAGATTATCCCGGGAGAATTTCTTCACAGCCACTTCCAAATTCTCTTTGGGTAGCACACCTCTATAGACCACCCCAAACCCACCTTGCCCTAGCTTGTGCTTCTCGTCGAAGTTGTTCGTAGCCTTCTTCAGCTCCTTGAACTCAAACTCCCTTGGAGTGCCCGGAAGGCTCTTGAGTGCCCCTAAGATATTCGGGTCAGACGCGGCGGCCCTCCGCCCCTTGTGCACGTA